TATTTATACTTGCCGGCTGATTGGGCATACAAGTTAGTTGCAAGTATGCAGTTTATTATAAGGCGGAATACGATTTAATTGAGATATAGTGGTTATAAGTTATTAAAATCAGTTAAGCCAATGGGTCATATTACGAAGTGATGTGGTGCTGCAAGATGTATTTAGCTAAATAACTTTTTACAAGATGATTAATAGTGAGTGATGCTCAAGTGATTATCAGGGAGAACATAAGTTGTAACCAGGGGGAGTACACTCCCAACTCATGTCTATGATAATGGCTTGAACCTTAGTCAGTGTTGGGGTAAATTCGACATTGATGTTTTCAGTTTGCAGGAGATTTGCTCGACTGCTTATACTGATTATTTGCATGCATGATTGTGTCGTTAAACCATCAATTAGACTGATAAGGTTTTGAGATATTTACTGAATGAGCAACTGATAGAGAAACATACTGTAATCATCTGTGATGGATGAAGATACCAAGAAAACAACACCATTTAATGGTAATTGTCCAATGCCACTACAGTAGATAGTCATGTAGAGCTGGCACATTCAGCCGTTTAAAATTCCAACGCAAGTTATTGGTGGGATATCTTAGCTTAGTTTTGCTGACAAAACTGAAGGCTATGACGGCATGATCGCTTTTTCCTAGGGGAGCCAGGATTGAGGGGTTGTCAATTAGGAATTCTTCATTCGTGAATACACAGTCTAAGCACGATGGTGCCTGACTGTTTCTTCAACGAGTTGCCGACCTCACATTTTCATATAAGCCCAAGTCATCGATGAGGTTGAAGAACCGAGCTTCAATTGAGTTGTCGCCTCCAGTGTATGTGTGTTCCGCGAAGTTGACTCTAGGGAGATTAAAGTCCCTCAGAATCAGGATGTGTGTGAAACCGAGACGGGTAGAGCGGGATAGTCCTTCCAACATACGACTATCGTATTCGATGTCGGCAGTTGGCTTCCTGTAAATGACTCCGACTAGACACCTCGAAGTACTAGACAATCTTACAGAGCACCACATGGATTCCTCAAGATTGTTAAAATCGAGGTTGTGAACTTGGTGCACCTCCAAGCAAGAGCTTATGTATATGGCTACTCCGCCCCCAATTCCTGTTTTTCTGTCTTTGCGGAACAAAGTCATCCCAGGTAATGCTAACTCTTGGTCCGAGAACTGAGAAGATATCCAGGTTTCGGATATTCCTATCAGATGGGCCTTATTAGCATTGCTAAGTTCACGTACCTCATCCATTTTCTTGGTAGGCTCGCGGCCTTGATGTATAAGCAGTTTATGCTTTTAATTTGGAACGCGTGAGCTTATTTGTCTATATGAGCCTTATGTGAATGGACAGGTAGCCCACCTATATGAGGTTTGCCGAGGTGGTAGGCTCTGTCCTTTACTCGTTTTTTTATCATTTAGACAGTCCACAAGTGGAATGGTCAGCTCCAACTTGCTTTTGTGTTTGGTCCTAGCTTCATATGGCCTATCTGGGTGCATGTGGATTCCAGGTGGCAATCGACGTCTGTTGGCACGAAATGCTTCCAGAACGGCATGGCTCGGCCATGTAGGCGTGGTCCCTGCTGAATGTTATCTTATATCTTCTATTCATAATAAATATATTGTTCTTCCTCTAGCCTAACCTTGTTCTACATCACGTATTGGTAATTGATACGACACAGTGAGTTGGCGTAGTCGATGGTGTGACTTCCACGTAAGATCTTATAGATTAGGCAGTTATATCATGACAAATCTACAAATTTAGGATTAGGTCTATTATTAGAGCAGCACTAATACCATAGTAGACCATAATTCTACTTATTCAGCACTGAGCTGAACCGTGTAGCTATAGGCACTCAAAGCAATACTCCATCGTTGAAACATAGTGGATGGGGGACGAACTAAGGATTTTTCAGGATGATAAATGAACTTCAAAGGTTCATGATCAGTAGCCATAGTGAATTTCTTTCCGAAAAAATATTTATGAAATCTTTTGACGACCCAAAACACAGCTGATGTTCCTTGCTGAGTTTGTGAATAACTCTGATCAGCAACAGTAAGTTTGCGTGAAATACAGATAAATTATCTACTTTCCTGCTCCAAAACTGCACCAATATGCACAGGTGATGCATCAGTAATAAGTACAAAATATACACTGGGCCAGTAAGTTCGAAGAACGGAACCACGTTGAGGAAGAGTTATCAGACTTCATAAGCACGACTCTTGTTCCTCACCCTATTTGAATGAAATGGATGTCAAAGTGTAGTGTCGGTTATTATGTTAAGCCTATAAACCTTATTCTAACTTTCGAATAGCCCAATCTATTCGTTCTACTTGAGTCACATTTTGACCTTGTTAATAATTATCCGCCTATTAATCTTGACTGTTTTTATGTGAGTGCATATGTGTGTGTACACTTCTTATCCCATTCATCACATGTCTGTAACCTTTGGAAACTTTCACGTATATTTTATTTCATTTCTATTCATCTTAATATATGACGCCTGCTTATGTTCGCATCTATAATTAGTACTGTTATTAATATCATTATAGGTCCCCTCCCGACACATTAGATATTCTTTTAATCTCCTCTTATCCTTCTAAACATATTTAATTCCTGATTGTCCTTTGAAATTAATTGTGACTTTCATAGCATCATTCTTAATTATTATTGCACAAATTTTTACACTAATATCCAGTTTTACTCTGTATATTATTACATAAATCTACATGTATTTACCCGAGTGCACTAAAGGATTTATTTGTCTTCGGCTAAAAAGCACTCATATACAATAAATTTACAGCTTTCCCGTCGTTTGGAGCATAGACTTGGTTTGTATCACCTATTATTGTAAATCTATTTTATAGCCCATTTTGGTAAATTACTTTGAGGTATGAAAGAGCTATTTGGCTGTCTTTCTTTTCGTAGTATTAAATAAGCCTTACAACTGTTACTAGTTTGTCATAAACTGTTATAATTCTCTCTTATTACAACACAGCTATCCCTATTGCTTAGTATTCTTGGACACCAGTTCGCCCGACAGGTCCCCAAATCAGAACGCGGTCGAACAGGAAAGAGATTTTATTCCAAATTACAAGGGTAGATGGAAGTAAGAAGCATGGTAGGAAAAACGCTAGTATATTTATAGTTTTTGCATGAAATTCTAGGGTGTTCCCAAAGTATCGACTAGCGCTGACTGGCTAAGAATTGGCCAATCAGGGTGCAACAACGCAATCATGCATTGAGCATGCTCTAACCCGATCTATGTCCCATTATTACAAACTTGACAAAAGGTCCTCCAAGAAAACGAACTTCCCTTAACAATTTAACTTGTGGGATTCCTGTTTCGTTTGTTGACACGGTTTTGATAAATATTGGTCTACGTTTTGCATTTTCTGGTTGCGTTGGAATTCAGTTTTGATTACCAATTTTACTGCCTATGATTCAGTTTGCTAATCAGGAGGCATCGTTTGCGAAGACGACGATTTCAATCCACTCATATTGATGAGGAGAAACATTTGTTTGTTTGGGGTTCTTCATTGTTAGGGTCGAATCAGCCACTCATATATACTGAGATTGTTTTCCTGCGCTTGCTACTGCCCAGGCTCATGTTACAAAATTTATATCGGGATTGATTTTCTACCAAGATAGCCTTTAATATCCTCTTGTCCTATCAAGTACCAAGCGCCTTCTTGTGGTTGCGTCAAATACGAGAATAGATTTTGAATATGTATATTTCGTGCACTCATTGATTTAAACAGACGAAGGAATCTAAGCGAAGGAAGCGAAACGAAATGACGTGCAGTGAAGAAGGAGGGTGAGCTAACTCGATTTAATCAAGCGTTACACAATATTTATATATATTTATAGACAAAAGTAAATTAGACACATGACGAATAGGGTAAGTAACTAGTGCACGTATGGTCGAACAAAAACAGTCAGAGTTGATAAGCAAATAAGTGACAAGGTTGAGTTGTAGATTGAGAAGAGTGAATAGATCTCTCTGTCCAGAAGCTAGAATAATCTATATGGCCTGAATTAGTATCAGACACTACGAACCTCCTCTTGGTATATCTTGTCTTAAAATATTTGACCAGTCTCCCTAGGCGTACGTTGGCAACCGACTATCCAAATATAAATGACACAACTGTAACCTAATTCTTGACATTCTCCTCTTCATTTTCACTCTTTGACGATATAGTGCACCAGAATTTTCTGAAAATACTACCAGACATTCTAACGCAAATCTTCTGTATAAGACTGAATACTTCCTTTACATCACTCCGCATTACTAAACCTTGAGTTATATGTGATTGCTCTGAGGATAGCTAGTATATCGTCTTATAAAATAGTAGAGACGCAAGCCACGAGTATTACTCCTTGATTGAATCATAACTAATACCAGTTCTGTTATTAAAAATAAGTCAAAGGTTTAAAATGTCGGTGTCGTGTAGCTTCATTCTGCTCAGATTGCAGCTAAGAGAATGACTTATTCATTGATGAAATAATAGTCTCCAACTTATACACGTTATTAAGAAAGTATAAAAACACCTGAATCTTTTAGAAGCCATCTCGAACCAGATGCTTATAGATTTGAGGTTTTCAAAATTCTCTTCACAGCTCCTCATTGACTTGTACTGCCTCAAAACGTTTTCCATCAGAGTGAATGCTTCAGATTACTTTGTACAATGAACATGGGCTGTTCCTTGTACTCGAACGACATATATAAGCCTAGTGGACCATTTTTAACGAAGTTGACAGTCATAGTCGTAATGAAATTTCATGTTGGTAGAACCAGAAGAGTGGGATAGTACAGCTATCGAGCAGATGGCTGAATCATTTCACAATAGGTGTCATTTATCATGACATTACGGGGATAGTTAACTGTGAAACGTCAGACAAGTGCATCACTTAAGACTGTATAGTTTATCATCACTCTCAAGATATTTTATTTAGTGGACTTATTTACCACTTTAGTATCATCTAGCACTTGGTATGTGTCTGAAAATACTTCCAGTACATTAAAGTCTTTTCATAACCATGCTTTTAAAAATTTTAAGATTTTAGTTCTGTGTGTGTAGTTTTACTGAATCTTTGTACTTATTCAAAGCTGATTTTGTTTCACCAGCTGATATCAGCATACATTTTGACAGCGCGAGCTTATGAAGCTTTGACAACTGGTTGGATGTCAAATTCATACATTGCTTGTATTGACTTTGTGCTCGCTTTTGCTGTTTTTGGTTTCAATACCAAATTTGACGTTCTGAATATTTAAAGATTCAAATTTTCCCAGAATACGGGGGCGGGAACACAATATTATTTCATTTGAATCAACTAACAACGATGTGGGATGACGTCAGCTACATCGGATAGTGATTTAGTTTTACCCGGACACGTAATTAAAGAGAAATGGCGTATTATCAAAAAGATTGGAGGTGGCGGTTTTGGAGAGATATACGAAGCTCAAGAGGTCAGTTCACAAGAAAAAGTAGCTTTAAAATTGGAATCAGCACGACAACCCAAGCAAGTTCTAAAAATGGAGGTCGCAGTCTTAAGGAAGCTACAGGGCAAAGAACATGTATGCAAATTTTTGGGTTGTGGAAGGAATGACCGTTATAGTTATGTCGTAATGTCACTTCAAGTAAGTCTCTTACTTACGCTATTATTTTCTTGAAATTATGTGCTACTGGCTAGAGATGATTGCATGGTTGTATGAGTTGTTCGCAAACAGTGTTCTTTTACACTAGTACTATTCACTGGTATGATTTCGTTTCATCTAGGTTCACATGATCGGTATTACAGCTACCATGTTGTTTTCTCACTTTTCGTAGATTTATTGATCTGATGCCATTCACATAGTAAACATCAGTCAAATACGCTTTCGAAAGTCCCTTTGGAAGTGGGCCTAGGGAAATGTTTTGAAATGCTAGTCTTCGGAAGAAATCAATCTAACATTCTCATTTGGATTTCGATTGACGTTGTGGGGACGGTTTACTTAGTTTCTCTGTAGCTGTTGGTATAAATATATGCTTAGGGTCATGCAGTGTCTTTTCCTTGATTTCGCGTCAGTATTGATGTTTAGGAAGTACTTTTTAAATTTATTTTCGTCTCATTAATCCGCATAAATTTACTATTAAAAGACTGCAGTGTGAACCGGTATATATTTATGAGGTTTTTGGTTTTTCTAAAGTAATAATTTTAATACCACTCTGTATATGTTTTATCAGATTTCACTAAAACTGAGATTCTTCAACTTCTGAAACTATTCACAACCTGTTTTGTGTTGAAAAGCGTCTGCCTGTCTTTACGGTAGTCTTGGTACTTGAGTCAAATATAGTATAGCAGTTTCTTATCTATTTCACGAATGATCAGGAGTTAGGATATTGTTTAAAATTGTATGTAAAGAGGTTTGGTGCACAGTAGTAATCTTACAGGCTGGTCGAGCAAAATTTTCATTTTACGCAAAGAAATTATTTGGACTATTAGCCCGTCTTTATTTAAACCTTAGGTGAGCACTTTGAATTAAGAACAGATGCACACGATGTAGACTTTGAATCAGATCATAAAACTGATGGAACTTAACAAGAAAAATATTTTTTATAAAATATTTGTCTTATTACTAGATTCCCTTAACAACTTAGTGGCATATCTTAGCACTACATTATAAAGTGATCACCTAAGCTTTTGTCGTTATCCCTAGACCAGTCAGTCGGTTACAACGTAAGACCAGGCACATATGTACATCAGTCCAAGTTGCCATACCTCATTAGTGCAACAAGATGAACACGGGATTCATAGAAGTAGTTAATTCAGTGGTGGTAATATGTAAAAGAAAGATTGCATATAAGGACATAGTACAGGAAGAAGGAATTAGTTCGTAGAAAGAAAGATATGAAGTGGTTTTAAACTCATAGTTTAAGAGAAGACAGAGTGTAGACCAACTTAAAACTGATTGTAGTATGCTGTCAAGCTAAACAAAGTATTGGTTTAAGGTACTACCCCTTACTGAAGAAAATAAAGTTGACTTGCAATGTAGAAGACAAACTTGTGTATTCAAGAATTAATTTTTCGTTTCCCGACTTTGATATTACTAGATGTTCATTTATTTACTTATTTATTTGAACGCAAATATTGGCATAAAGGGGCATCGGATACATATGCACCATACGTCACTTGATTTGTGTGTGGACTGTGATACTCCTCAGGTGCCCAGACCGAGACAGGTGGTGTACTTCGGGGACCACGCTCGGAGCCTTCGACCTAAAGGTCTGATCCAAAAAGCAGTAGAGCAATGTCAGGCGATGCAGTCCCATGGTAGTCAGTGACCAATGATTGATTCACACGTCATTTGTTCCCTCAGGATCGGCCACCTAAACGACTCTCTTCTGTACCTAGACACTCGATCCGAGCATTCAAGTCTCCGGGAAACAAGCCTTTTGAAGCTACAGATGGAGAGCAAATTCGTAGTACTTCACTAGAGTCTTGAATACGGGTTTCGGATAGACAAAAAACGTTGATATTAAGACTTTCTAAAGACATAGCCAGCCCTATCTGTTGTCCGATGTGCATTGGTGTGCGAACGTTGAAGGGAGCTAGCTTGAATGGTGTACGTGGTTTCAGAAAACTGCTTCAGTATTCGTATTTGGTGGTAGCATTCAACTTTCGACCAGGCAGTGACTCGAGAACGTTTAGATAGAATAGAGTTTCCATCATGGGCGATCTGCAGCATGAGTTGAGAAACAGGGATTCATGAAGCGAGAGCAGAGGTAGATAAGTGATGTAGTATATAAAAAAGCAATAATAATAAAAATGAGTGGTATCAAGTGAAAGTGAAATGTCTGAGTTCTGATCGAAGCGAGCGTAGTATTCTGCCCTCCATGGCCTGTGACGACTGAGTCCACAAGGAACTCCAACTCTTGAGACGCTACAAATCACCTGGCCCAGATGACTTACCTCCGGCTCTTTTTAAAGATGTTGACTTTCTGACTAAGGAATTGACGACGTTGTTTACAAAGGTTTGGGAACTAGAGAGTGCATCAACGTCATGGAATGAGTCGATAGTTGTCCCTATCTTTAGGAAGGGTTCACTTCGTTCCTGTAACAACTATCGGGGGATAAGTCTACTTTTGATTGCGCCCAAGCTATTAGCTTCTGTCATACTTAGTAGGTTGTTCAAAACCCGAGAAAGACTGACTCGCGAGGAGCAGGCTGGATTTCGTTCTGGTCGAGGATGTATTGATCATATCTTCACCCTCCGCCAAATGTTAGAACACCGTCATACTTTTCAAAGACCAACAATCGTAGTTTTTCTTGACATCAGGGCTGCCTTCGATTCGTTGGATAGGACTGTTCTCTGGGATTGTCTATTGGAAAAGGGTGTGCCTGAGAAGTTTATTAACATCCTAAAAGCCCTACATACAACCACCTCTCTCCATTGTTCCATTCGAGCAGTGGGGTTAGGCAGGGTTGCCCAATCTCACCATTCCTCTTCAACTTTGCCATCGATGACATTCTGGAAACAGCTCTGATGAATGTAAGTAGTGGTGGTGTGGATCTGTTGCCTGGAGAAAGACTTCTCGACCTTGAGTATGCGGACGATATTGTCTTACTGTGCGATAATGCCCAAGGCATGCAATCCTCACTTAATCAGTTGGCAATCAGTGTCCGTAGGTATGGTATGTGCTTTGCACCTTCGAAGTGCAAAGTACTTCTACAAGACTGGCAGGATTCCAATCCTGTACTCACCCTGGATGGTGAGCAGATAGACGTAGTTGAGAAGTTCATGTACCTGGGTAGCTGCATAAGTGCTGGTGGGGGTGTGAGTGATGAGATCAATGCACGAATAGTGAAAGCCAGAGCGGCTTATGCCAATCTGGGCCACCTTTGACTCCTTCGTGATGTTAGTCTGGCTGTAAAATGTCGGATCTACAACGCGGTGGTGAGCAGTTTTGCTATATGCTTGTGAAACCTGGCCTCTCCAAGTTGAGGACGTTAGACGACTCTCTGTGTTCGATCATCGCTGTCTCCGAAAGATTGCTGACATCCAGTGGCAACACCATGTCAGTAATGCAGAGGTTTGGCATCGTGTGTTCGGGCACACAGACGATAGTCCAATTGGTATCACAATCTTGAAACATCGACTTCGGTGGCTTGAACATGTTCTCCGAATGTCGTCCCAGAGAATTCCACGTCGTGCATTATTTGCCGACTCTGGGACTGGTTGGAAAAATCGGAGAGGTGGTCAGTGCATGACATGGTGTCGTGGCATGAAAGAAAGCTGCAAAGGACTGGCTTGTGTTGGTCCTTCACGACTCCCTGGCTGGGGTCCGAGAGATGTTGCGACACAGTGGCTAGAGACGTTATCAGATATGGCTCAGAATAGAAGCCAGTGGCGATCATGCTGTAACCTTCTTTTACTTTCTTCGTAAAAAGTGGTTGTATCTTGCTTAACTGAAAGAATTCTTTCTGGTTGTACCTTTCCGTTTCCCCCATTATTATTATTATTATTATTATTATTATTATTATTATTATTATTATTATTACACTACCTTACAGTCAGCTGTTCGTTATTGTTTATTTGGTGCCTCTTTGTACCAATATCTATATGTTCAAATAATAATAATAATAATAATAATAATAAACTGTCATATCCGTTCCGCTAAACAAATCCTATAATTTAGTAATATGAGTCACCTATTACCACAAACTTGACGTTTTCCATTGTCACCAAAATCAATTCAGTGCTTTATTTAAATGACTTATTTTTATGATATCATACGTACAGCGTCTTTCATAAGAATACCTCATTCGCTACTAGTTTGTTCATTAACAGCAAAATATCTACTGTCGTTCGGGGTCTACATATCCATTTAATAATACGCTAGTTTTTTCAAGGTGTACAGTTGCAGAACAGTAAATTATTAGGTTCTGTTAATAACTATCCACGCTTTTTATTCCATTTGGTGAATTTCGATATTTTTTCTCGCTCGTTAAGGGCTTATTAGAGGTGGATTGTTTTAATGGTTCCTGAAATGACTTGAAATTTCCTGATCATATTACCACTAATAATTAGATTGGGTTATAGTGTAAAAACGTTTCTCCTGAGGTTGTTTATTTGTATTGTACTTGATATTGAGCCAATTATTATACTATTTTCCGATAATTTATTCACTTTTTCTTTACTAAGCTGTTTGTGTGAACTGGTATTTTGCTATGAAAGCTTCTTTATATCAATGAATGTCTTTTTCTTGAAAAATAGCCTATTAGCCTTCATTTAATGGTCATGGAGTGGTGGCTCATCTTCTAGGGTTTTCAGCCACTAAGTCTCATGTCCAAACTCCTCTTCACCTATTTCGGCCTGGGCAATAGAGCAGTATCACTAGCCCTCACACTTAGAGAAGTGTGACTCCAAAGCCAAGCACACAAATATGCACCTGGTGAAGGAACCAGTCAAATATTTAATGGTAACACTTTAAGACTCATTATTACTTTTACAACAGTATGATATTAAACTAATTAACCATACTTATACAGAATTTTTTTCTACGGAAAAGACTAACATCAAATAACTTTTACTTCATCAAAAATCGATCTAAGCAAGCGTCTTTCCCTTTCTTCAAACCTAGATTAATCATTTTATCT